TTTTTTTTTTTCTAACCATTTTCACTGCATTACCGCAGTAGGGTAGGACTAGAACGGAACATATGCGAACCATGCGAGTAGTCCACCCAATAAATCCCACCCATCCCACCCCAGGGGAGGACATCCATCACACAGTAATCTCGTGCGTGGGAAATTAACGTCTCCTACCCCTAACCCTGTAGGAGACGGGACCTCCATTTATTCGTCCCTATCCGAGAAGACTAGAATATCTAACCATTTCTTGATGTTATAGAGAGGTAGCATATTCTTCTCAATTATTTTAAGACCTTGAGTGTTGGTCCGGCCGGGGCTTGAACCCTCGACCTCCCGCACAGCAGTCCAGCGGTTAGCTCAATGGATAGATCCAGCATTTTTGTAAAATTTTCGTCGCTTTTTTCCAGTTGTTACTGTTATAAATAAAGAATCGTTTCATACTTAGCGCGCGTGTTATGTACTTATTGACAGAGTGGGAGCGGAGGATGAGAAATGTTTAGCTCGAGGTTATGACGTGTGGACTGAGCGCATCGAGGTTTGTGATTCATGAACGAGAGCCAAATATTTTGCCGTCCAGCCCAACCTAACTCAGTCAATAGGCATTTCATCAAATGACCACTGTTTAAGTTTTGAAAACTTCGAAAAACTTTGTTTTAACTTAAGCAGGACGCAATACATTGGTGCGCGCGAGTAAACCACAAAAGCGATTTTATGGTAAAAATTGCTATTTCAGTATCGCCTTACGTTCGACTCTTCAAAATAATATTTACCGTTCTTACAAAGAGTACCCAAAGTCGCAAAGACTTAGTCGAAGTCAGAAAGCTCAGTTTCATTTTCAGCTATAATTCGGATCGCGTTTAGGAATGAAGTGTCGTTAACTCCAAGACTAATTTTATCACTTGAAAGACCTGCATGCCCATTGTTTCTTGGGCTCCGAAAGCTCTATCTCAATCGGGATGGAACAGAAAAATAGTCTTGAAAGTTTTCGAAACCTCGCAGCTAAACTCGACGGGAACTTGAAGCTCAAGTGAAACTGTACACGTCATGTTATGGATGCACGGCCGTGTTCAGCTCCTGAGGAAATAGGTTGGACTTGAATCCGCAAAATGTTATCATAACTTTTGATATGACCTTATTCACAATTTGCTACTTTACCCATCATAGTTACCTTTAAAGTCGATTACTTTTTTGATTTTCTCTTTTTCAGTTGTTTCTCCTTCGTCCAAAGCTGATCTCAGCTCCAGTTTGTTGGCTCCTTCATGGAAGAGTAACTCGCCAAAATGGGGACTCTTCTTCCCTGGAATCAAAGAGGAAAAATTAAAGTCACGAGCCAAACAGAAAAAATTGCTCTGATAGCCTAGTCATTAGATGATGACAACATAAAAAATCTCTTACCACTAGCCTTTTTGACCTTTCTAAAGACGTGGTTCACATGCGTGTCATACTCAGATTTCTCTCTCCGTATTATTCTCTTGTGCTTATCTTTACGGATACAAAACGGTCCTATTTTATCCAGGAATCGTATCTTTGAACTGTCCAATAGAAAGGCACTTGCTCATAGAAGTTGGAGCACATGAAACATTACCTCCTTTTGAATGAAGGAACACTTTAACTCCACTGCTAAGTTTTTCCACGGCTCGTCTCTGGCTAAATGTTCCTGCAGGTCTGGGAAATTCTGGAAACAACATGCGGTAGTTGAAAGCGAGGGCTGTTGCTAGCATACTTCCTGTCAGGTGAGCATGAGGCACCTCGCTCAAAGAATAGTGATCACCAGGACAAGTTAGCACTATGGTACCTCCGTCCACCAAATGGCCCCATATTTCCTCGGCGCCTTCGGTTGAGCGAATCTTCGGAGAGAAACGTTTGTCCAGACTTTCAAGAAAAGTGAGAGGACCTCTGTAACGAATCTAATAGTGGAAAAAAAAAAAACAAGAAAAGTTTAAAGAGTGTAGGATTTGTCTCTTCTTTATTTCTCATACGTACGTGAAGGATGGGCAGACTATCTCCTACGCAGCATTTTTTATGGGATCAGGTTGCGAAAAATCCTAAAAGACGGCTGGATTGGAGGCTGAGGTGAGATCAATACCTAGTGTCCGTGTTTAAGAGTGGTCCAAGGGGGGCTGTTGTAACCAGTTATTACTGATAATTTCAGGAATAAACAAATGTACACGAAACCCAGAATGGCAAATGCATATTGCACTTGCGCCAAGAGGCCCACTCTAGCATACCCGGTGAGCAGGCAAACTCTGTGCTCGAAGGGTAACTTATGTTAGGGCCTATTTTCATGCCACTTTCAGTAGCACGAAGCAATTAGGAGAATGGCTGCCTCGCCTAAAAAGGAATGCTTGCACCGCACCATCTATCCAGGTTTAGTGAACAATTCGTCGACATCTTAAATACCACATGGTCGAAGGTAAATGAGAGGTATCTCCTTTTGAATAAAGGGCATTACGCTCAGTCGACCTTTTCTTCCTATGTAACGATAAATTATCACTAAAATGGTCGCTTACCTCAGGAGGTCCCCATTCATTGTGTGTTTTACTGGCAACAACTTGGTCCTTTTGAAGAGACTCAAGGAGGGTCTTTAGATTGTAAGAAACTAGTCCTTTCTCTACCCTCCTTCTCTGGAGTTCGTCTACGATCCAGTCTTGATTGTGACCTCAAGTCAGCTGTTGGTATTCATCCGAAGTCATCTTTAGAGTATCAAGTGCCAGTTTCTTGAGAAATTTATCAAACTGAATCTGCAATTAATAGGAATGATTCTAATTTACATTTGATTACCTGAAAAACCCTCTTTTTTTTCTCTCGTTATGGAATTGTTTAAAAATTGCAATACTTAAATAGATAAATAAATGGATAGACAACTCGGAAGAAATCATTAAGTAGACCAAAGAGCTCTCTATTTCTATTTCTACATCCCCAAGTTGTTATGTCATCGCATCGAGATATACTCTTTGGTAAATTTGTGTATGAACCTTAGTATTTTCAGATTCTTCTGGCTTAAACATTAAAAAAAAACAATTCTTCGCACAATTTTATTATCTCTGACTCAGAATCAGTATTCCATTTTCCAAGTTGATGTGTGTGGTTGGTCAACTCACCTTAATATGCCGAGGCTGTTGCAAGGTTCTTTCATCCAGAGTGGAGGACAGTCTAGGGCTGACTACTCGCGAAAGTGGAGACCAAGGAAATGTATCTATCATGGCCAAAAACTCCACCCTTTGACTTTGCTCTGTCAACAGGGAAGCAATTTCATATGCTAAGAGTCCTCCATACGAATATCCACCGAGAAAGTAAGGTCCACACCGCTGTTCTTTGACGATCAACTGAACGTAACGTGTGGCTAGCTCACGCACACTTCCCCAGTCTTCACTGACGACTGTGGGGTCAGTAAAACCAAGGGCATAAAAGGCTATTAAGTCCTGGAAGGAACAAATAAATGGCACTGAAGCGATGTATACTTACTTCATACAAAATTTCTACTAGTAACAGAAATAACGAGCCGTAGAAATTGACCGCTCACTTACTTACTTTAGTCCTGTCTATTTTAAAGGCTAACAGTGAAAACGTCAGCATTATACAGTTGGCATTTCATGCTGATATACTCTTTGCGAGTACGAGTTGATGCAAAAAATATTTCAACACCCTTTCTTTCACTCGAATAGAATATCAGTTGGGTTTGTGGTATTAAAAGTTATTTGTTCAGTGTGTACCTGCCCTTGAAATCCAGAGGAGATCGGCACCAAACTTAAAGCATAACGATGCGATGGATGTATACAAAAGAACTTTACAGCTGCGCCTGCAGGAGTATGCAGGGGCACAACTTGTATTTGATTTCTTGAAACGTTGCCAGAATCAGTCGCATCTCCCTGTGTTTGCGGAGATACACTTTCCTGGGTCTCCCCAGGTTCAGGCTGTTGGCTTGCAGCCTCTAGCGTATCGCTTTGTCCAGCAAGCTTGACAATAATATCTTTCGCCATCTTCAGTGGGGTAGTGTCAGGCTGCATGAAGTAGAAAACCTGAGAAAAGAAATTTTAATTTAGGTATTTTTTTTTTGTGGTTAAAAAAAGGTCTATGTGTTACTGCAATCTACTGCTTGTGCCAATTACGGTTTTAAGCTCGTAGTACTTGAGAATATGCTATTACTAGTTTCTACTACTGTTCATTCTCTGAGACCAACTCCTCGAAATTGTCTGAAGTTGTCTTGACTTTTCCTCGCCACAGCGTCAGTAAAATGTGGGGGTATCCATTTGTTCCCAAACCACTTTCCAATAATAACCAACATAAAACTTGACATTCGACAGATATCCTTAATGGATAAGGAGTTTCTCCTCATGTGTGCTTAGTTACAGTGATTATGTCGAGTATTCCTTACTTCTCCACCCGTTGCGGGTATAAGACGGTTATCGGAAAAAATTACATCTATCAACCTCACCAATGAACTTTTATGGGCGACCTACCTCAAAAGAGATCTGCAGATTTGATTCAAGTTGCATCTTTAAGGTTAGGGAAGCGGTGGAGTCGGCTCCATAGCTGTACAAGCTTTTGTTTAAATCGGTCTCAGAAGGCGAAGAAATCCCGGTCCATTCTGTGATCAAGGAGGCTACATACTCATTTACGAGCTCCGCTCTCTTTTCTGCATCTTTCTCAAGAATAATCTTCTGTGCTAGAGACTCTGTTGACCCGTCCTGGCTGTCAGAACCACTGATTTCAGCAGTAATGTCCAAGAGACGAGGACTCGCCCTTAGTCCTGGATTACTTTTAATGAATCGAGGCCAGTCTGCGTCAAACAGGGAGAGCTGACAGCGACCTGGATCTTCCATCAGTACTTTCGCCATGTGTTTAACTCCTGCCAAGTAGCAAAGAATTGTTACTAGTCCACCTTACTTATCAAAACAACTTATGCTATATTGTAGCTTAGGGCGCGCCAATGTAAATGCCTTGCTGACAAGGTCAAATTTCAAGGTAATTTATAAACCCACCTGACACTCAAATATTCAATAGAATCGTGTCATGCTAGGTTCGCCAATGTATATGCTTTACAGATGAACGTTTAAAACCAGTAGGTGAAAGCTTAGAGCAGGCAATAAGAAATGGAAAACAGGTATGGATATAAGGAATCTTGTAAACCCATCCATGCCAATCATATGTTACATGATGACTCCAAACAGCAACATTTCGTTTTCTATTGACGAAGTATTATGCATTGTACTCATTTGATGAGGTTTGGTTTGTCTAGGTTAGATATTAGTGAAGTACCCGTCAGATCATATTTCAGAACCTCGTGCGTCTTTACTAGTCATCTGTGTGCATGGTCTGTGTTTTTGCGTTTGTGAAGTTTATTGCGTTTTTTGCGAAGTTTTTGGATCCTGCGTTTATAACTACTCAAGCGTACAGAGAGGACAATCGTTTGACGATTTTGAGCATTAGCATATTATAATAAAGATATTTAATTGGAAATCAACACGAAGTCCAGTGCTCTTGATCAGTGCTTCGACATCCTTAATTTGTAATTCGGAACTTGCGGTAATCAAGCCTGGAGTCCGTTATAATTTCCTATATTACCATTTTGAAAGTAAAATTACCTTCTTTGGCATTTATAAAACCCAATCCCGCCATGGTCAGCAGTTTAACGATTCCTGATTCTCGCTCCATCACTCCTGCGCCACTGATTGGTCCCCAGTTTATCGCCAGACCTGGAAGACCGAGCACATGTCTCCGGTAGTGAGCCAGAGAATCTTGGAAGGCATTGCAGGAAGAGTATGATGATTGGCCCATGTTGCCAACGATTGAGGCCATGGATGAAAACATCACGAAAAAATCTAGATCCATTGATAAGCTCATTTGGTGTAGCAGAAACGAGCCTGTAATTGAATTAAAGGGGCATGAGACATTGCATTACGAAAACGCAATAATATCATTAGGTATATTGTTAATAACAGTTATGATTAAAATAGTGATAATATACATCTACAATAGCTAACCTTTAATCTTAGGACCCATGACCTCGCTAAAGCTCTCAAACGTCAGATCTTTGATGAATTCGTCTCTCAGGACCATAGCTGTGTGAACGATTCCCGCCACATTTGGAAGAGAGTTAAGCTGTTCCTCTAGTGAAGCCATTTGGTCTGGGTTTGATATGTCAACCTATAATAGAGATCAAGAAGTTGAGAATGCTGTTTAACTCTTTGTTTTCAATCAGACGATCAATAGAGGCAATAGCTTTTATCTCTTGGCTAATAAGTATGCAGTCATTCAATGAGATAGAAAATAATTTTCATTGCTTACTTCCACTCTTACACACATACTAGGTCAATCTCAAAAAGATTTTCCTATGACACAGTGCAAACGCAAAGTAAGACAACTTTGCGTTCTGCCGTCACAGTCTTTGACCTATACAAGAGCATGAAGTACAATAACTTACCCGAAAGGTATGAATCTTCGCGCCAGTCCTACTCTCAAGCTGTCGTATCTCTTGTAATTTGGCATCAGAAGGCTTAGATCGACCAATAACTGCTACGGACTTCGCTCCATTTTCTGCCATCCAAGAAGCTACTTCGAATCCGAAACCTCTCATCCCTCCTGCTATTAAGTACGTTCTGTTTCTCTTCAGGCCACACACATCTAAACCACGTGGAAGTACTGGAATGCCCAGAAGAGCATCTTCTTCAAATGATCCAAATGAATAGATAAGAATTGGTGGAAACGACTCGAACTGTGGTCTACGATTCTGCTGGTATTTTGAAGCATTTACAACTTTGATTGAAGAACCCAGGTCCAAGGAAGTAATTTCCATCGCCTGAAGCTTTTCGAGTGTTTCTTGGCTTTCTAGTATTTTCATACTTTCAGAGCTGAGTTTCCTGTAGACTAAAGGAGTGAGCAAAAACTCTGCAACGTCGTCCCTCTCATATTTAATGTTTGTATTTCCAGGAAATACTACATCTCCATGAAAACAGCTGCTAAAAATTGCGACGTGTCCTCCACTTCTGATGCACCGACTACTTTTTAGAAGAGCATTTGAAGAAGGTGGATAGAAGAAAACTACTCCGTCGAACGGCTCAGTGGAATCATCATTGAGACTATAGGAGCTCTGGGAAATCACACTATCGGCCCCCAACTTGAGGAGAGTGGCCCTGGCAGACACCTCGCAAATATCGGACACGGTACAGAATACTTTGAAACCCAATGCTTTTGCAAGCACAACAGCTGCAAGCCCAGGGCCACGGTTGGCTTCATGTATCAGGATCTTCTCATTTTCTTTTCTCCGTTCCACTGTCTGAAGGGCCTTGAAAGCTATAGCGAGGCAAGGAGGAAGGCAAGTAGCTTGTTCCGTTGTAAATGACCTTGGTTTAGGAAATACGTTATTGGCTTGGATGTACATGGAATGGGAAATTCGTCCTGAGGGAGCGACTCCACACACTTCATCTCCAACTTTGAAATTGTGTTTGTTCTCCTCAGGTGGATATGTTACTTTCCCAAACACAAACACACAATCGTTTGGTTTGGTTATGTCACACAGGTTTTCAGATGGTATCCAGCAATGCAGCACCTCCAATGTGAGTTCGGACGGTGAAGGTCGAGAGATACTCTGGTCACGCAGGCAGAGTTTTCCGGTTGGAGGCATTGTTGATATGCAAAGCGAATTCCTGTCTTCTAATTTCTTTTTGGTGTCTTTTACGGTTTTCCTGTCAAGCACGTCTGCCCTGAAAAGGCGATTAACGAAACGTTTACCATCTCTGAAAGCCACCTCATTTTCATTGTTGCCACAGATAATTTCATGAGCCAGCAAATCTACTTCATACACGTTCATCCTGTTGGAGAGGTCAACAGTTGAGACCCTGACATTTACTTCCTCTAGGTTGGCCGTTCTTCGAAGACCCCAAACTGTGGAACTCCAGGGGATTGATCTTGCGTAAGTAGACTTGTGACAGGAATCCAAAGTCTGAGTGGACTCAGTAACGAGGAATAAACGTGAATCAAAACAATCTTTTTCCAGAAGGAGCTGTAGTAAAAAAACGCTGCTGCTGAAAGCCAGTTGCTCAGCTTGACCTATGACTTCGAAGCTATCTGGTAAAAGAGTTGTTTCTATAGGCCACAAATTGACGATACTCAGGGTGGACGAATTGCCTGGTAGAATGTTCGAGAACTCAGCCTTTATTGAATCCTCTGTTTCTTTGTTGTAGAATCTCTCACTTGGCGGGTCAATTGTGATGACGTTGACGTTTTCTTTCTCAAGTCTTGTGACTAGGGAATCTGAAAAGCTGGAGGAATCTTTAAGGACGATGCAAGTTAAGATTTGGGCATTTCCGAGTTGTCCTTCTAGGCTATCTTCCTTCCACTTTACTTCATAGGCAAGTTCGGAGAAAGCAAGTTGACGTGGTGAGCTTGTTAACTCTGCGATGCGAAACTCAGACATGGTTAGCAAGACTTTTCCAGATGGACTTAGAAGCCTGACGTCAAATTTTCCAAACTCATTGCCTTTCGCGGTGACGTGACAATACATTTGGTTGGTGGAGGGGACCCCACTTAGTGTGACGCTTTTAAAGCCTACCGGGACAATTGATTTGTCATCCATTGAGGACGTTCCCAGTGGAACAAAGCAGGACTGAAGACAAGCATCTAGAATTGAAGGATGGATAACAAACCTTTCACTGTCTGATTGAATATCTGATGATTCACTAATATCTAGCAAACAAAGTCCTTCGTTGTTGCTTTGCCATATCTGTTTGATAATGGAAAAGTTGGGCCCATATTTGAAACCAAAATTCTCGGTTATCTGTCTGAATCGATCCATGGGCATTTTCTCCTTGTGATCCATCAAGGCAGTTACAGCTGAGGATATTCCATCGGGAGCTGTGAAGAGCAACACAAAGCCCTTGGTATAAAAATTTGATAGAAATGCACCGTGGATCAGTAACGGAGGTCTACCTAAAACACAGTTTACGCCGTCATTGGGCCTCGGGCTTTCCCTATGGGAGGGTTGATTTCATTAAATAAATGTCCTTCCACTTTTAGCTTTCAATCCTCGTGACACTGTTCACGAAAATAAATGTTCAGATGAAAGGTCCAGCTCTACTGAGGATTTTTCGGGACGCGGTGTATAAACAACGGCTACGCTTTGTTTCAATAACTAGCTCCATGTGTTTGACATTCAAAATCATTGCGACAAAATCATAACTGGCCTGACATTTCTGTGACCGCTTCTTTTCCCTGATGTTTGACTAATGATAAATGGGAAAATGTGCAACTTAACCATGAATCTTTTATATTTCATTTGTCACATTAAAACTGTTGACGATGGAAATAAAAATACTACATTTTATGTTGTATTGCAGATATTGTTCCTTTCATCCGTCAGTTTTCTCAAGGATAATGCGACAAAAAACAAACTCCTCTTTAGTCTTTAAAAATTTTCCTACTTCAAATAAAGCAGAGACTAATAATACCTTCATACTCGAATTTGTCTTGTCTGTGTATCAGATCGATTGAGGTCATTCCACTACTTAAGTTGATTTCAGACTGATCATCTTGAACACTTGTGATGTGGAACTTAGCTTCGTTTACTCTGTCGCTCTTCATAAGACGCAACCTCAATGATCGAACCTACAACATAAGAGTGATATTTAAGTGACGATACACTTGCATTGAGTTCACATAGCATTTTACGAGATGGAAAATTTCTACGAGAGGTGATTACCACGTCTAAGTTTTGACGTACTGTTTAAGTCTATATTTATGCCTTTCCACATCAGAAATATAACAAAAAATTTCTCTTTTTTCATGTGAAAACCTGGTGAACATTACGGATGACAGCTATTATATATGCAAAGTTGTAAAATAATTCCATTTCTTTTCCATAAAAATCCCTACTCTCTTCGATCGTTTTCTTGAGGCAGGACTATTTCTTTTCACACAAGCTAAAGTCGTCTAAAACAAATCGCACGTCACCGTATAATTACATTATCAATCCTTTTACGCTTTCATTATATGCAAATACCTGTGTGTCGGGCAAAGTGAGGAGACTAGAGAGCTTCACATCACGTAATTCTAGACCCGAAACACCTACGAACTTGTCCTTCAGCATGGCAAAGGCCATCTCCAGGTAAGCAGCTCCTGGCATCACCGTACCTCCCTGAATGAGGGCATGGTCTTTCAGAATCGAAAAGCGATGGAGGTCTATCTCAGTTTCCCAGCAAAACAGGCCCGAATAAGGGTCGGTCATTTTCACTTGGCCTAGATATGGATGTGCCGGCTTCTTTGCGATGTTCTCAGTGCTTAGAGGAGGAATAATCTCCTGGGGTGGGTGTTCCCTATACCAGAAGTTTTTTTCCTGCCATGGATAGCTAATCGAGCGCACAAACTTAGCAGATGGATTTTCTTGCACGCACTTCCAGTCTATGGGGAATCCCTGTGTGTACAACTTACGCACAGTCGTCTGCATGAAACTCTTATGTTGATCTGGGACAGGTACTCTCTTTCGGGGAAGAGTTGTCACGACAACTGGCATTTCTTCTTCTTTAAGACCTTCTTGGAGAGCAATCTGTTTGACGTAGTGGGCAAGAATAGGCTGCGTACTGATCTCAATTATCTGTTTGTGGCCATCTTTCAAAAGGTGCTTAATTGCGGAATAAAACTCGACAGGGCAGCGTATGTTTTGCCACCAGTAGTCTTTGTCAAACTTTTCACCAGAGAGAAGATCACCTCTTACAGTTGAGTAAATTGGGATCTTGGATAATTGAGGTTTAAAGTTGAGACGTTTCATGGCCGCCTGGAAGGGCTTCTTTATGATTTCCATATGCGAGCTATGGAATGCACGCTTTGTTCCAAGAACCCGCCAAAATGCACCTTTCAATTCATTCTTTACATGCTCCCCTAGAGCTTCAATGGATTGGGAATCACCTGATACTGTAACGCTTGTCCCGTCATTGACTGCAGCGACGTCAAGTGTGGCGCTCAACCTTAATTCCATCAGTAACGACCTAGCATTTTCCTCGGACAATCCCAGGGCAGCCATACCACCACTATTTGGGCAGTTTTCTTGTAAAGTAGAGCGAGTAAATATTAGTTCCACGGCTTCTTTGACGGTTATAATCCCAGCAATACAGGCTGCTGCAAACTCTCCCAGACTGTGGCCGATGACAGCAGAGGGGAAAATTCTCCAAGACATCAGTAAACGTGCGGTTGCATACTGGACAGCAAACGTTGCAGGCTGGGCGATGCGGCTCTCCGAAACTCTTGATTTATCTTCAGCTGGAGCTAAGAGCTCGTCCATGAGTGACCAACTCACCCCCAAGGCTTTAACTTCATTGTTAACGGTCAGAATAGCCTCTCTAAAAACTCTTTCTGTTTCAATTAATTGTCTTCCCATGGCATACCATTGTGAACCCTGTCCACCGAACATGTAAACTATTTTTGAGTCACTGGAGTCTACCTCACCATACATTACTGCCTTATTCCATCCTGGGGAGTCGTCAGCATAGTCTGCTAAAGACTTGGAGGCTTCAGCAGTCGAACTAAAGGCAACTGCTAGGCGGTGGGGACACTGACTGCGGCGTTCATTTAAAGAGTAGCACAAGTCAGGAACCAGATTTTCATCTCTGTCGTTCGTATGATCCCTAAGCCATTCAGAATAGTGGCGTGCCATTTTTTGCAGAGCTTCCTTCGACCGTGCTGAGAGAGTGAGAACATGGTTTAAATGCTTGATGCTGTTTCTTTCCAGGCTGTTGATTAAGGTGACTTCACGAAGAATAGCATGCACATTTGATCCGCCATAGCCAAATGAGTTTACCGCCCCCGTTCGTGGTTTTCCTATTTCTGTGCACCAAGGCTCACTAGTTTGTTGAAGAACAAGGCCCTTCTCTTCCAATTTCAGCTTGGGATTCAGAACATGCACATTAACAGTTGGAACTAGCCTCTTGTTCTTTATCATGAGAGCAACTTTTATTAGCCCAGCAAGACCAGAGGTTGATTCGGTGTGATTGAGGTTTGATTTTACAGATCCAACTCTTAGCTTTCGTTTGAGAATTCCAGTTCCTCTAGTGTAAGTATCAGCTATGGAGGTGACCTCCACTACATCTCCAATTGCAGTGCCAGTGCCATGAGCTTCGAAGTAGTCCACATCCTCTGGAGCCAGTCCTGACTGTTCTAGTACCATTCTTGACAATTGCGCTTGAATCTTCGCGCTTGGCGCAGTCATCGGCACAGCATTTTGCCCATCATTGTTCATACCACAAGCAAGGATTTCACAATATTGATCATCTTTATCACTCACGGCTGCATTTGAAAGTTTCAAAATAACTGCTGCAAAACCTTCCCCTCGTCCATAACCGTCACCAGAGGCATCAAAACTTTTGCAACGTCCGTCAGGTGCTAGGAGGCCGGCCATACTCGATACCATCTGCATAGCGTGGTTGAGGAGAACATTTGGTGCACAAACGATCGCTACATCACAATCTCCATTATGAAGGTTATCGCAGGCTAGTTTAAGGGCAGTTAATGAAGACGAGCATGCAGTGTCAACAGCAACACTTGGTCCTGTTAGGTTTAAGCAGAAAGATACTCTGTTGGCAATAATTGATGCAGTTATACCTGTCGATGAAAACTGGTCAATATTTCTATAGTTTGATGAGTCTGTTATAAGCGAACTATATTCGAGATTCATTACACCGACGAAGACTCCAGTTTTACACCGCTGAAGGTCTTCCAGGAGCATTCCAGCATCTTCAATAGCCTCGTACACCACTTGAAGAAGTATCCTTTGCTGAGGATCCATTCCACGAGCCTCTTGATTTGAAATACCAAAGAATTTGTTATCAAAGTTCTGTATTTCCTCCAGGTAAGAGCCCCTCACAGCACAAAGGCGTCCACTGACAAAGCGTTTGGGGTGATAGAGTTTAGCGAATGCATTATACTCTTCCGTTCTGTTTCGAGGAAATGCATCAATCGAACTTTTTCCTTGCTCTAGCAAAATCCAAAATTGATCCTTATTGCTTGCTCCAGGAAATCTGCAACCGATACCAACGATGGAAATGCCAGGACGTTTACAGTTGTTTTGCTTTGCACGATCGTCAAGTGAATGCAAGGATATACCATCTACTTTGCTTCTTTTTTCAGGCAGGACATTATAGCTATTCTGATAAATTACGTCATCCAGGAAATGGAGAAATAGGACTATGAGTGGTGGCAAAATAATGAAGGCGTGCATCAGTCCCAGGACCAAGACCACGGGGACAACTTGTAGAAAAATCTCCGATAGACCTGGATAAATGAACCCCAATGACACAGATCCAGATCCTGCAATAAGGACTGAAACTAACACAGGATACCAAATGGAGCTGAAAGATTCAATCATTCGATCTCGTATGGCTTGTTTTTCTGAGAATACAAACGCATGGGCTATTTGAAAATTGAAACCCAAAGACAGAACAACGGTGACCATGAGTACAATAAATGAGATTTGATTGAGAAAAATCGTCCAAAGAGCCATGAGGGCGGCAGTTTCTAGCAAGAGAACGCCGAATGTTATAGCCAGGAGGAAACCAATTCTGGAACTTGTACTCGAGAGCGTAGAAATGATGTATGTCAGGGCAATTGAAATGCTAAGTAGAAGGATAGTGTCTTTCTCTAACAAAAACATGTCATCAAGATCCAGAAATTTCTCTGAGTATGCGATGAGATTTAGGGAGGACTGCGTTGCCAAATCTTCTCTCAGTTTCTCAAGAACTCTTCTGTCCTCACGATATCGATCATGCAGCTCTATCTGTAGATGAACACGGGATGCCAAAATTCGAGGGTTGAGTATTTCATTTCTCAAAACCAAATCCTGACGAAAATAAGTGCCGTGGACTTCATCAAGGAAAGCTTCTAAACAGCTGTAGAAATCAAAATCCGAGCAGTTCCTATGTTGAGTCTTCGCCCATTGGAGTAAGGCTGTCATCCAGCATTGAGGTATCCCTTCACTGTAAGAGGCCTCTCCTAGCATTTTACACATGCTAGTAATTTCCGTTTGTAAGCTATTCTTGGAGTACTCCACTTCATCAGGAACAACGATGCTTATGTCAGTTTCTTTGCCAAAAAACTGTCTTTGTTCTTCTGCAAATTTCTTTGAATTGTGATTTTGGTGGAGTGAATCGATGCTTTTCGTTCTTTCGAAAGGGTGTAAAGCGCATCCGACACACATAATAACGATACCAGCAGTTATGGCAAGCGCTAGAACTTTACCACCTTTTGACGTCAATTTCTTGGCCAGTTGTTTTGCAAAATTTTGCAGCCTTTGTGCGGATTTCTTTCGGAAGTCTCCTTGGTATGGCAACGTTGACCTCGTACTTCGGCACCACAAACATGACGTTTTTAGTTCCTTCACTCTACTTTCAAAGCATATTAATAAAGTTACTGTTCCTATGAACGAGGCAATTGAGAAAACTATAAACGCTATAGCAGTCATCACGAAGGAACTGGAAATGACATCAAAGGAGGATTTGATTGCGACTATCAGTATGGAGGCTCCACATAATGCCGAAGATGCAGAGAGAAAACCTGTTCTTGTTACACAGCTACTGACGCGATGTTCAAGTGATGGCACACGATGTCGCTCCCACTCTCTTAGGATGAGAACTACATCTGAAGTTGCTTTCCCAAATAGCAGAAAGGGAATAAACAACGAGGACGGGAAAAATGTGGTGTATGTCAAAGAAATGATGCCTGCTGTGCAAATTAGGGGCAAGATAATACCCGAAATCATCAGGATTACCGTTGCCACGCAGCTCAGAGTGTCAGAAGAAAGATATATGACAGTGATGACAAGAGTTGCCAATATCACAGTAGACTAGAACAATGGTAGAAGTTGCGGATTGAGTATGTCTTTCAAGGTTTCATCTCTTGTGTTTGCAGTTTTGAAGGTAATTGAAGCGCATTTTAGGCTCTTTTCCAAGGACAAGAGGACACTCGCAAACGTTGCTTCAAAAGTTAAGACTCTCTGATCTTCCACATCACTGGTTGTCTTCTTGACATAGTAAATGATTCTCAGAGCGTCTGCCTCAGCACTTAACGAGGCTGTGTTTGATTTAAACCTTAGGTTACTAAAAATCTGTTCGGACGAAGAATTAAACGTTTGTCCAGTGGATAGAACTGTGGTGGGGTGTTTCAGCTCACGGTGGAGAATGGACAAAAAGTCGCTTAGGTTTTCAAAGCGCCCACCAGTTAGTTCAAAAGGACTACTGATAACACACTCTTGATTGGGAATGTTTCCCCCTTTGCTAGAAGGGATTTGCTTGAAACACAATTCTTTGTAACCAATGATGTTCACTACGGCCCGGTGCAGAAGAACTGCATCGTCTAAACAAACTGCACTCAAAATATTCTGACCGCGTGAAGGGGTTATGATAACCTGCTCTTGACGAGCATCCAGAACTGGAAAGAATCGTGCTGAACGACGTAGATCTTGCCTGGATTGGCTGTCGGCGGCAGTAAAACGATCCAAAGAGTCGTGTCCGATACGGAGGCGAATAAATCCCATGCAACTTCCAAAAGCTAGTATGAGCCATACTAGGAATATAACTGTCGCTCTTCGCGCAAGAAAAAATCCAAAATTTTCCAACGCTTTCTCGTAGGAGGCGAGGACACGACAAGAGATGGTTTTTCTTCCTTTGATTATCGCTCCCCAGCCCCAGCCTTGTTTTCCAGTTTTCACGTTACTGTCGAGAGGAATATGGATATAAAGCATGGTGATCTCACGATTTTTTATCAAAAGCAAAACCCCTAACCAATGCTACGTGAGCTTGAGACTTAAACATAAAGGAGTGATTGATTGAATAGGTGATTTCCCCTGTGACGAACAATTATGACCCAATAATGAGTCACTTTTACCGTTTTCAGTTAAAATGTGGCTTTATATTAGCTACGTAACACCATGTATATCTCCCTGCAATCTTTGTTAATCTTCATATTCTGGATTTGTCATCCTTTTGAGGCACTATAGGTCGATTTTTTAGTTTCGAACCTATTTTGTGTCATTGACTTGCGAGTTGATTGATTTGGTGACGAACAGTGACAGTTCATCAATGCTGAATATATCATGGTTATCAAGATCGTATGGTAAATTATAGAGAAAAGACACATAAGCAGTATTAGCTAAGACCAGAGAAACTACAGCAGCTTCGTGTATGGTTTGCATTTCTTTATCAAAGATTAAGAGCCATTTTGTCACAAATAACTTTCACAATCGGGATAACTACTGCCTAGCCTTGAAAAGATAAACTGGTAACTTCGTCATATTACTTAACGAGGCTTGCATCTTGATATGAAATTTGTTGTAGTTTATAAGAGTTTCAACTAAATATGTTGTTGACTGCATTTCTTCACAATAAAGATATTTTGGCCACATTTTCTTCAACATTAATTTTATCAATTGTTTTTGACCGTTTGAGCATCTGTTAACGTTTTCCATCTTGTTTGGAATTTACGGGATTTAATAACTTTCCTCTTCATGTGCACTTCTTTCGTTAGTTGTTCTCTTGCTCAGCAACGATGAAAAAAGTAGGCATCCAGGGGATGCATGACTGAGGTCAATATCATAAAAATCTGATAGAAATCATTTTAAGATAGAGTGCAAACATAAAGATATAATTACGTAAACGAAGTTTTTTTGTCTATTGGTTTTCTTCGGGAAAAAAAAATGTAGGAACATTGCACCGACAAACAATTCAAAGAGCAATTTGGATTTACTCCCAGTCAATGTGCAGAACCCAGTAGATTCAATTCAAAAATGGAGGGGTTTGGGTGTGTTTCTAGTGTAGGGTTTTATTCCTCTGGAAGGAGGGGTTTATAATCATATAACATACTTCATTGTTTACATTTTGCTTTATGAGCATATAGTATGGCATAAATTGAACTCCAAGCTTTAACACATTATTGACACCTGAACCGCCGATGCTGCGCGATGGACTCGCTTTCTCCTCTCCCTCCACTACAAAGCACGATTTTGTCCGTAAATTTCCTCCTGACCAATTACGACTTTCTGGGACTCAAAATGAAAAGTAAAAATACAAGAGAATACTCTGCTTGGAAAAAGTTCGAAATCAAGCTCTCAAAAGCGACAAGTTAAGCTTTCGAGTCGATGATGCTACGATTGTCTGAACTTTCAAACTTCAAGTGAGGCCTGAAGTTGAGGCATGAAGTCAAGTAAAAACCATCCAAGCAGGATGAGTTCTACTGCGTGGGTTTCGTTTATGCAAGAAATTCGCACGTTTAAGGCTTGTAACAATAAATCAAGAATTATTTTGAATAAGGCTTTCGATCCGAAATATTTCTCGGTCACTCTCGTTTTCTTCTCATTCTTAGATTCCATGTGACATGAGATCTCGTCACACACGGACAAATTTATTCAGGTTGAAATCCGATCTGCCTACCTGTTTACACACGTGCGATTTTTAATCCTTGCCCGTTCTCTGGAACCTTCGACTATTACAGGGGAACACGAAAAATGATCGACAAGTTATCGTCTTTGTTTGGTGGGACACGAATGAAAATCAGTAGAACATTGGGTTCCATTGCTCACTAACGAACACCCAGTAAAGAGTGGGCTTGCCCATTTAAAACCTTTGATTCTTGTCCCATCGTGATAGCCCCGCACCCATGTAAGCGTTATTTACGTCAATTTTTCAGGGTCCGATGGAAATGTTTATCCACACTCCCGGAGCGCTATTGTTGCGCAACGAAGTGGCTGCAATTGATCTCCAATCACAGGAATACTGAGATGACATGAGTCTAACGGTAAAAAGTTTGAAAGAGCTTTGGGCAAAGGAGTTTCTTCCTAACATACGAGAAGAGATCCGCAAGGAAGTCGATTCGCTCAAAGCTGGCCTTAAAGACCTCCGAAAACGATTTGAAGAAATTGAAAAGTCCCAAGACTTCATTTCAAAAAAATACGATACAGTGATATCAACCATCAAGGGCATAAAAGAACACAATGACAGTGTAAAGAGCAATATTAGACTGATAAAAGAAGACATTGGGAAGCTTGGAAACGATTATCTTAATGTTGAGATCCAGTTGGATGAGCTTGAGCAGTACGCACGAAGAGATTGCCTCGAAATAACTGGTATTCCGATTGTACCAAATGATAACCCAGCGTTGCTGGTAAAAGAAATGTCTGAGATTATGGGAGTGAACCTCAGCCCAAACGATATATCGATCGCTCACCGTTTGCCGCCAACGCAGAAAGTGAAAGATCGACTAATCGTATACTTCACTCGAAGAGAGAAAAGAGACGAAATGTACAGCAACAGGAAAAGATTAAAATCTAAGCGGACTGAAGACCTTCCGTCGGTGGTCTGCCAGCCGGAATCTGTGGCTGTAAGTCATAAAGCACAAATTCATGTGAATGAAAGCCTGACGCCGTACAGAAAGCGACTACTGGGCAGAATTTTACAATTCAAGCGCGACCGTAACTACAAGTTTATCTGGACTGCTAACGGTAGAATAATGCTGAAGAAAACGGAGAGCTCAATTACGAAATGCTTTGTGAGACACGACGAATTCGAAGAATTCCTCGATCACCTTGATTAACTCTAGCTCAATTTGACGACCTCTATAAATGTGTACTATTATGGATCTAGACATGGCTAATCACCAAGAAAACGTAAGTAGTTCTTTACCATTTTATGGGTTAACTGATAGAGAATTTTATGCTATGGCTAGTAGCTGGCGGATGGGCGCCATGATGATCTTGACTTCTACGATCTCCTCCCTAATCCAAATAACTTCGACGAATGCGACCCAGATTTAATGTTAAATACCCCTTGCTCAGAATATTATTCAGTTCGCAGTTTTATCAGAAGTCTTTCTAAAAACCTAAATTTATTGGAAGAACTCTTTAATACCAAAGTGGATATTCTTGGAATTACAGAAACCAAACTGGGTGAGAATTCTGTTAGTAATGTAAATATCAACGGCTTTATTTTATTCCACACAGACTCTCCAACAAAGGCGGGTGGAGCCGCTCTGTATATCGCTAATAATTTTAAAGTAGTACCAAGGTCTGATATTAAATTTGATATAACACTAGTTGAATCACGCTGGGCAGAAATTGATGCTGGCAAAGGTAAAAAGAAGATTATAATAGGCTGTATCCACAAGCATCCTACTTATGATCTAGAACAGTTTTGCAACCAACTAAATGATGTAATCAAATCAATTAATTCCAATAGGCATGAAATTTACATCTTTGGAGATATGAATATAAATTTCCTGAAATTTAATGAACACGTCCAAACTGAAGAATTCTTAGATATGCTCTATGCCAACAACATCTTACCAATCATTACTAAGCCTACCAGGCTTACTGATCATACAGCAACACTCATTGACTATATATATACGAATTGTTTTAAAAATCTTACAGCAGGAATCCTGACAGTTGATTTAACAGATCATCTCCCCATTTTCTGCATAGTTAAAACCTAGCCCACACGGAACAATGATAACAAAATATATTTCCTAGACTATTCTAAATTTAAGAAAGACCTATACTTGGATGATATAAATCAGATTGCTTGGCATGAAATCCTTAATCCCCAAAAGAATTTAAATGAGAAGCTAAGGGAGACAATTAATATCCTGAATGAAATTGTTGACAAACATGCACCTATCAGGCTGGCTAGCCAAAGCAAACAAAAGCAACTTAATAAGCCATGGGTCTACTTTTTCTCTTTCTCGTTGTTGTATTTTTAGTAGAATAAGTGTGAATAAAGAATGAATGAATGAATGAATGAATAAATGAAAAGTCCAAAAGATCTAGGCGCAAGATACGGTTGTCATCAATTGATAGCGATACTAGGATTCATGTGTTAGCTGGTAAAGCTTTAGCCAAGTTTTAGCATTACAATAGCAATGTCACCAGGGGAGGACGTTTTAGAAACAAACTAATTCTTGAGCGTTTCAAGATCTTTTTCGATAGTGCTTAAATGATCAACGAACTAGGGGAGTCTGACAGAAATGCTTTTGAGAAAAATTGCCTCGCAGGATTTACGACCAACTCACTTTAGATCTGCTGGAGTATTTTCTTCGCATTCAAAATCCCTCCATTCTTGGGCAAGTCTCATCATAATAATTAACAAAATGAGGATTTTCTCTTCAACTTATCGTAAAATATCAGTTTTCTCGTGGCCTATTAACTGCCCAGTTTCTTGCTGACATGCCTTTTAATTTGCCGTGACAGCGCAATTTTGAAAATTTAAGATTTAAGTTACCAAGAAGATATTTGTTGTAAAAAGATCTTTTTTAAAAACCTCTGATTTGTAAGCTTGAATCTAAGCAAAAGGCTGATCGAACGAATGACATAAATATCTTTGATAATGTACATTCCTTACATAAAATTGTACCCAAATGTGCTAAAAACTGTTTTCTCGAACCTCTCTCTTTGATGCAATTATGGAGCATCCGATCTACTCAGTTCATCAGTCTATTAAATTAAAGTTAAAGATCAATTTAGAAAATGGGGCAGCATTTTGTTTCATCAACAGTACATGCTGAAGACAAAACCGCACTCACGTGTTATTACTTTCAATTGACAATCAGCCGACAAAATTGTGCGAAAGTGGAAACTGAGGTTTAGCTGACGAAAGGTTGGCTGGATTCAGATGATAATTTACATTATTGTATGAACTGCGGCGTTTTATATGGATTATTAACCCTGATAAAAGGTGTAACAGCACACATGTAAAATTACCACAATTTTTTTTTATGCATTTGATATCCACAATCAGCTACAGACATGTCACTCGCCTTTTGAGCCACTTTGTAAGGTTGATGAAGGAATTGCATGGCTTTCAATATTCCCAGCCTCACTAGGTCGTTTGTCGAGAGTTTCTCGGATTATGGCTGAAACAACAGCGTTAAAGATTCACATCGCTTAATGACAGTGTGATTCAAAATTTAACTGGAAGCGGTCAACTTTCCTCATTAGTAAAGGCCTACTGTAGATTTTGAATTTCATGTCTACACACACCATTGTGTATTCTCCAGGGAAAGGACAAGTTAATTATTTCATTTGCCAAGATTGATAAAAATAATTATTATCTAGTGGTCACTTCATCTCAGGTATTATGTTCTTTGTGCACCATTGAACAATGATATTTGATGCGAGTGAAGGTGGGCAAAAATGTGACTGAGGTAGAAAATTCTACTCGAAGTTTCTTGCATATATGGGGAGAAAAGGATGCAATAAGTAGCCAGTTCTGCCTCAGACGACTGGACCAGTTTCAGTCTCTACATTTTCTTGGTTAAGGAGGGGATCTTGGTGGGATAGGTAGCTATGTTGCGTTTTTCCTTGACTTTTGTGCTGCATCTCGTTAGATAAAATCCTTTGTGGCATGACTTTATCTCCAGGGGTCAGCTATAAAAATTATTTCTGTTGTTGTGGTTTCTTCTTCAATGGACCTTTTTCGTCTTTTGCAGACCAAATCTAGTGACTCGGAAAGTGTATAATCGTATCGAGTGTTATGTGACCTTGGATTATCCTTGAGGTGCAGATGATGCAAAGTGATTTTTTAGCGCTGGAAGTTTCGAATTTTGATCAAGAGTTTATCTTGTACCTCTGGCATGCGATAAGCGTTACGAACTGTCTGATACTTACATTTCACTAGTTTACCTTTTTCTACTCATCTAACCTCTGCTGAGAATTTTATTTCTTGCTAAAAGATCCCACATTGTATAGGCCAACATTTTCTTTAACCTACAAGCTTAGTTCTAGTCACTATGGAGGCTTGCATTTCTCAGATGTGAAAATTCTTCCTCTTTAATGAAAGAATCAAGAGAACAACTTGAAGGTGACTTTAATAGCATTTTCAGCTACCTCTTTGGTAAAGATCTCATTGACTGACACCCTTGCTACGTGCTTGAAAAATTCTAAAGCTCACTCAGATATTTTATCTCCATTGTGCCGATATGCATAATTGCTGTTATCACAAGAGACCTTAATTAGGACTTATTAGGGACGACAGATATAAATATAAGTATGACAATACTTGCATAGTAACTTACAGCAAACTTTTAAGACAATAAACAATTTTGTTAAATTTACATGTCTGTCAAAACATCAGTCCGATCCTTAAAACTCGTTTGAAAACTGATTGCATATTGGCAATTTTGCCGTATCAATATGTTATTGGAAAGCAATTTAGGTGTTTTGCAACAATCCCTCTAGAGACATTCAAATGTATTAAAATTTGCTCCCTAGAAACTGAGTAAAAGTAGTTGGGATAAAGCTGGAAAACCTCAATTGTAAAATAACTAACTAGATCAAACAGTTAGGGATGTGATACAAGAATTAAATGATGACTTCTTTGGTTTATCCTAGATTTATAAAATACCCAAACTTAGAGAGAATAGGCTTTGTCAAATAAAGAGAGCTTTTAAATCACTGACATTTCAACCAAAACACAAGGGTTGGTGGAAACTAATTAAAAATTGAAGCTAATGAGAAGACCATCACCGGTACAAAAAAAAATTGAAATAAAGGAAAACCACCCATAATTATGGAATAAACTACAGCATCGAAGAATATATGTATAGTGCATCACAACGACCGAGAGAGATCTTTCTCATTAAAAATTATCCAGAAATAAAGGGAACTTACTCCACAAAACACATTGGGGACTGAAAATATCTCAGTGTAGAGGGTCTTCATTGAGTTAACCGATAGCCGTAAAATGGGTAAATAATTAAACGTTAGACGTAAAAATTGATAAATCTCAAGGGTTGAGTGTAAAATTTGACAAATTTTAACCTTTAGGCGTAAAACATATTTTACCGTAAAAGTTTTTCGTTTTAAGATGTCATTTTGAAATTGTCAACAAATTAAAACAGACTGTTACATCTTGTCTCGTGGCTTACGAGTTTACGACTGTTACACTTTTAATCATGATACCGAAAACAAAGAAAGTTTACTCAGGTCCCTCAGTCAGATTCCGCAAACCGGAAGTGTCTGCTTGTTGCGCCTGAGACGCATTGAAATTGAGCTGACTATTAATAGGAAATGCTCGTAATTAAGAGCGGTTTGAAAGAACTAGTGGTTAGTTTGTATCGAGCTGGAGAGGAGAAGCTAATCGAAAGGTATAAGGTGAGGATAGAAATCGGAGAGGAACATCGCTCTATACCATCAGTAAAAAAAACATTTTTCTTTGCAAACCAAGAAGTTTAGTATGGGGTCATTTGACCTTAAACCATGCCGCCTGGCTCAAGGTTTGAGACGCAATAATGATGAAAATATTTCACTTACGTTCCGTTCGGTCGGCCTGATTCCTGGTTTTGCTCAACAGCTGCCTCCAGATCGGCCATCGTAGTTTGCAATTGACGAAACGAATACCTTTTTCGAAAATCTTATTTGATCAAAATCGATTGAAAATGTTTTTGCTCCTTCACACAACGAACGCCTGCTCACACTGCACTGGCGAACCATCACGAGGAATCAATTTATATCTTCACAAAGAACTATTTTCCGTTTCAGCAAATCAGAAATCTTGGCTTCAGCGTTTTAGGTAGCATGAGTACAATTTCGATGTCACTTCTTTTCAAAAGGACTTCATCTAGGAAGCTAAAATCGTTTTTACAAATAGTTCGTGTCTTCCGCATGATTTGGAATGGAATGCGGATGAATTCAATTTTAGGACTACATGGAAGCTAAACAACATGGAAGCTAAACATTCGAATAGAATACAAATTAAGGGGTTTATATATGCGGAAGATGTAAGGCTTCCTGAAGACATATTTAAAACTCAACCACTGTAATAACGTGCAAATGCGTGCTCAGAAGGTTCACGTCTAAAGTTTATTAGATGAATAACAAAATTACTCACCTTCGTTCTCAAACTCTCGGCAATTCGTTACTATCTTCCCCAGACGAAGAGACATAGGTTCTTTCAGGCTAATTGATTGTCTTGAGATCAATCATAGTGGTTAGTAAAAGATTCTCCTTCACCCACATGAGCGCTGGTTCAGCCATTGCCCACGTGAGTTCGAAGTCGTCAGAATGACTTTCCGATTGCAGGATATTTGCAGTCACTAAAGATTGAATCCATTCAGCCAGACGAATTACTAAAGACCGAAATATGAGTCTTGTTCCCACCATAGAAGGTGACTACAAAAGTAAAATGATCAGATCTTAAACCTCTAAAAGAAGCCTTAATTCGATCGCCATTAACAAATTCAGAAACATCGTAACCTGACAGAACTGAATAACGTATACGCATGCGCCAGGTTTTGCCGCGGAAACACTTGATTTTGAGTCGTTCGCATAGTTGATTTCCTATTCTGTTGTTTCGAGGCGTCGTTTTCCTTGCCGCTTTTCTTTTACAGAACAACCTCCAAAAATTTGGTACACCCCCTAATAATTTTCAAAAATTAATTTTCTCCTTTAAACCTTTGGAAATAGTAAAGTGCCTTCGACGAAAACAGAGTTCCTCGGTTTTAAAGGTCAGCCCTTATTATTTTCCGCTCATTTCGCTAAATTTTAGACCTGAGACATTTAAGCCCGCGTTGTTAACCGCATACCCGTGACGTGGCATATTCAGCTCTGTCCGGTTAACCTAGCAACAGTGCGCAAGGTTTTAATATACCAACGAAAATTCGCTGAAAATGAAAAGACCCTTATTTCGGCATTTTCTAGTACCAAGTTTTTTTTTCTCAAGATTTATGTTGCGTGGAAAATGTGTTAGGATTATTGTCTGAAGGAAAGTGTATTTTACTCGTTGTATTTTACCCGTTTGCGCGTGTATTTTACTCGTTGTTTGTATTTTGACTAGCGTTACGGGCTCGTCAAACTACAAAGAGTAAATATACTTACCGAAACTACACAACAAAATGTTAATAAAGAGAATTAAGACTTATAATTTATTAATTCAGTTTTTAATTTAATTTAATTTATTCGCCACGGTTCAACAAATACAAACAACTAATCTACATTACACAGTTACAAGAAAAGAGAAAAAAAAATAAAGTGGAGTGGTAGGAGAGAGGAACAGAACTTTCGTCCTAAGCGAGACCTAACCCCTATAACACAATAAAAAAGACACAAAATGGGCTAGAATATGTTTACAAAAAAGCAAGTTAATTTAAGGTATAAAATACTGACATGGAGGAGTGTATGAGACGAGTTTAGAAAAATATAGGTTATTTAATTTAGATTTAAATGTTAAGAGCGAGATTGTACATTTCATGTTGGGTGAAAGAGTATTCCACAGTCCTGCAGTCGTATTAAAAAAGATTTAGTTAAGTAGTTTTGTTTGTGTTTGAAACTTATATCATAGTTGTTCGGATCATAGTTATGACAATAAGTCAAAACAAATTTAACGATTCGTAAGGACTAGTTGAGGATAATTTTTCTGAAGTTTTCAAGAAAAGAAAGAGAAATCAAATTTCATCCTAACATTACTAAATGTTGATGTAAATGTACAATAGAAAATGATTTAAACCTGAACTAGGCTTGTAAATAAATTTTATTGACTACTTGAATTTTTAGTTGGGAGTTCATGCATGTATTTATTGTATATTAGTTGCCTCTAAAATTTCCAATAATTCTTAAACATTCCTGGAAATTCCCAGAATTCCTAGGAATTTCAGGCAAATTTTTAGATTTACAGTCTTTCAGGGAAGTGATTGGTGCTCTGAGTTGGAACTCTTAGGAATTCCCAAGAATTCCAAGTCCTGTTGGATTAACGTGGAATTTTAGGGTATTTTCTAGGCTTTTAGAATCAGGGTTGCGGCAGTTGGGAATTCCTGAAATTCCTAGGTATTCCCCGTCCGAATTTACTGTGAATATTCACGCCTCTTATTCCTAGTAATTCCAAGGAAAAAATTCCTAGGAATTCCAAAATCCAATTTACAAGGGAAGTGAGTGCAACAAGTGCCGTGCATTGCACATGCATGACAAAGAATTTGAAAGAAACAAAATTGCAAATTTCTTGTACTTGTATGTCTTAGTATTGCTAAAAATGTTTCAACCGTTTAACTGTAGCCATCCTAGTAAATAGAAATTGATGTTATATGAACCTCAACAGTTTTGTCAGCTGTATCAGTGATTAACATAATAACCTCAAGAAACATCTTCAACACTAAACTTACAATTAACTCAATTTAGTTAAACTACTCTTGTGCTCAACAAGGTGAAATAGAGATGCATTTTAGATGAACCCGAAATATACAATGCTGAAAAAAGAGAACTTATACAGAAAGCTATTGGAGATGGCAAAGTAACAGAGAGAAATGAGAGGTTTAGGCCCTAAAATAATATTACCGCGCAGCTACATTGCTACATTAAGTACATTAATTCCCCTTTTTGCAAAAACATTGCATCTGTCCTTTGTGCAACTAAGTGAATTAATATAGCATCGTGCTCTACTGGTTGATATAATCCAGGTTTATACCAGCCAATTGTCATGTCAAGTTGTAATTACGAATAATTAGCATCATCATCTGTCGAGGTAGAAGTAATTGAAATTTCAGAACGGCCTCTTACCATTTACAACTCAACTGATGAACAAGTAATGTCCTAAGTCTACATTGAACAAGTAATGTTCTAAGTGTACATTGACCAGGTCGTCTGACTTGAGAGTGTCAAATTGAAATGGATGTCTCAACATACATTGTATCCACCCTTAGTGAAACTAAGTGAATAAAGCATCATACTGTACTGATTTGTACCATTCAGGTGTATAACAACCTTAGGTCATGCTTCATTTTGATTATTATAATGTTGTGTAGGAAAACTGTGACAATTAAAGACCATCTGAAAAGGTTTAGAAGTTCCAAAATCTTGTAGTCGACCACCAATATCAAATATGTGGAGGCTATAGGAGTAATCAGATCTATTTGTTGTAGGCACTTGGGTGACATTTATTAAAGCTATCATTAATTCAAAGACCTGACGTGAGATGGTATCAGTAATTACCACCGAATTTGTTTTTTCATGACCACCTTATTATACTTAAATCATTTAACTCAGCTGTGCACTGATTACCTAAAGAGAGGTTTCTCTTACATTGGAGCCCAGTTGTAGAACAAAGTACCCCCAGAATTACAGTAAGCAGTTTCTTAACATGATTTTAGGAAAAATTGAGTTGCTACAGTTTTAGGTTTAATCTTTAAACATGGTCTACAAGAAAAGCAGAATCTGTTGCTTTAAATTTTAACTCTGTTGCACTTGAAGTTAAGTAGGTGGGCAGTATATATATATAGCTAGGCAGTCAATAATAATTTCTTAAGACTGATAAAATACTGCATTTAAATAGTTATCTTTTTTTCTTATCTTACTGGGAGAGATGTGCAAGATCCATTCAATAACTAATTAGAGGAATTTTAAAACAGGCTTCTTCCTTCATTTGTGATTTTTGAGGAAACCTTCAGGAAAAACAGGAAGTAATCAATGTACAGGTAGACCTCATGGCATTTAAAATAATATAACCTAAACACTGGGAAGCCGCCAATTTATTTCAACCAAGACAACCAAGTAAGAGACTTTTTCCATGGGAAGAAACACAAATTTACTAACACTATGTCTTGCTCTACAATAATTTTATACGTTTTCTTTTTTAACCTAATTATGGCAGTGCCATTAGATGAATATCAGCTGAAAAAAGGGGATTCTGCACACCAGTTCTCAGAGTATGAACCTTGTTGATATCAAAACTGCAAGGAACAACTTTGAATGGAAAGCAAGCACACAAAGATAAAACCAGCCGGTGTATAGAATTCTTTCCGGATGTTTCACCGAATGATATAACGACTTCAGAACATTAATTGTTCATAAATAGGGGGTTAGAAATATAGCTGAAGGACAGTGCCGTTTCGACTAGAACTTACTCTAAAAAAATCAAGGAAGAAGGGAGATTCGTTTTCATTTTAATCCACTGTATTTTGCTTTACTACCTTACTGAGAAATACGGAAGTCAAACAATAGGTAAACGTGACTAATAAAGAACAGACGTGACTAATAAAAAGATAGGATAAACGTGACTTCCCTGATGCTGAAACGACAGTTTTAGAGGGGAAGGTTTTAACAAACAATGGAAAGCAGGAGTTTAAATGCAGCGAAACGGATAAATTGATCAATAAGTTTCTATGTAAGTTTGACTCAGCTACACTTGCCAACGAGTCTCGCGTACCGGTCATAATGAAAGAGCCAAAATCAGCTCCCCTCAAAGAGTCAAAGTCGAGACAATTAAGGTAGGTGACCAGAATTATTTGTTAAGAAAAGACTTATAACATGGGCACCTTCTCTCAGTTCCTGAAAACGACGTATTTTATCAGAGTATTCCCTTCAAGTTGGCTAAGATGTGTCCCAACTGAGACCAAACTGAGAGTTCCTGTTTGATTTCTGCACCTTTAAATCGATTTCAGAGGATAAACTGTAAGTTTCTTTCAACCTCGTCGTTGTAATCCGAACAGATATCGAAAGCATTTCCTTTAGACGTAATACCTGAAAAGAAAAGAAGAGATTTGGCGCGCATCTCTCGTTATTACTTGCAATATTTTCCTCTCACGATATTGATATAGCTCATTGATCGACATGGAAGCAGTAAGCGAATCTATGTAAAAACACAACAGTAAATCGGTTTACTTACAGTCGATAGATTCTGTTCCTTTTAGTGATGAGCACGGCGCAGGGAATTTCCACATAGTTACAGAAACGGAGATGAAAATGGTTGATAATAAAACAATTCAGAGCTATTCCCAGAAATCGCACCATTTTGCGCTTGGTCCGCAAGCGGCAATATGAGACGTAATCATTTATCCCAACTGTCATTGCACCATGGTAACTATCAAAAGAAGCCAATGAGGGCTCGCNAAATATAGCTGAAGGATAGTGCCGTTTCTGTTCAAGTTACTCTAAAAAAAATCAAGGAAGAAGGGAGATTCATTTTCATTTTAATCCACTGTATTTTGCTTTACTACCTTACTGAGAAATACGGAAGTCAAACAATAGGTAAACGTGACTAATAAAGAACAGACGTGACTAATAAAAAGATAGGATAAACGTGACTTCCCTGATGCTGAAACGACAGTTTTAGAGGGGAAGGTTTTAACAAACAATGGAAAGCAGGAGTTTAAATGCAGCGAAACGGATAAATTGATCAATAAGTTTCTATGTAAGTTTGACTCAGCTACACTTGCCAACGAGTCTCGCGTACCGGTCATAATGAAAGAGCCAAAATCAGCTCCCCTCAAAGAGTCAAAGTCGAGACAATTAAGGTAGGTGACCAGAATTATTTGTTAAGAAAAGACTTATAACATGGGCACCTTCTCTCAGTTCCTGAAAACGACGTATTTTATCAGAGTATTCCCTTCAAGTTGGCTAAGATGTGTCCCAACTGAGACCAAACTGAGAGTTCCTGTTTGATTTCTGCACCTTTAAATCGATTTCAGAGGATAAACTGTAAGTTTCTTTCAACCTCGTCGTTGTAATCCGAACAGATATCGAAAGCATTTCCTTTAGACGTAATACCTGAAAAGAAAAGAAGAGATTTGGCGCGCATCTCTCGTTATTACTTGCAATATTTTCCTCTCACGATATTGATATAGCTCATTGATCGACATGGAAGCAGTAAGCGAATCTATGTAAAAACACAACAGTAAATCGGTTTACTTACAGTCGATAGATTCTGTTCCTTTTAGTGATGAGCACGGCGCAGGGAATTTCCACATAGTTACAGAAACGGAGATGAAAATGGTTGATAATAAAACAATTCAGAGCTATTCCCAGAAATCGCACCATTTTGCGCTTGGTCCGCAAGCGGCAATATGAGACGTAATCATTTATCCCAACTGTCATTGCACCATGGTAACTATCAAAAGAAGCCAATGAGGGCTCGCGTGACCAAGGCACGATTGCTTTCGATTTGCATCTGCGTAGCTAGAAGGAAGCAATGACTTTCAGACGAATGAGGGCGATTTTTAGATAAAATTCATTTCAACTACGGCTTAATGTTGACTCTACACATATTGAGGTGACTATAAATACATAGATCTGAAAAGGAATTAAAGAGCATTGAGAATCTTTGAAACCGAATTGGCACAATATGATGCACCGAACGTTTAAAAACAAAAGAAACATCTTGAGAGGTTTTAATAATGCAAATTAATCATCGCAGACACTCAGAACGATTTTTTTAAATACAGCTGTAGATTCATGCATGACTGATTCGATCACTTTTTTCACCGATCGGGTGCCGTTTCATTTGCCAAAGTTTTAAGTTGCCAAAGTGTAACGTTTTTTGGTTTGTACTAAGTGTAATTAGTCATTTTGAAATTATTTGCAAGTTACCCGTAAACAATTCAAGAGACAGTGGCGTTTTAATCAATTCTAAATCCGAACTTACTCCGACGTCCGGTAGGAAACGTTTCAACACGTCTGAAAGCCATAATCGTACGTGATGTTTTCGAAAGGAAGGTCGGTTGGAAGAAACGTCCAGTTCCTGTTTTGCTGTTTCCTCTCTATATATAAGGCCAGTAAAGTAAGCAGCTAAATCAAAATCGGCAAAATGCAATGAAAACAACTTTCTGTTAAACTGAGAAGGTGAAGATTCTTTCGTATCTACTCGTTGCAATGGATTCAAGAAGCGCGGAAATTAATTGTGGTGCATTGGATGAGAAGTTGAACGCGGACGACGGCCTCGTAGTCCACAACAGGTATCTGCTGGCGGCGATTTTTTAGGTTTTTTCTTTGTAGTTCAGTGTTTTTATATTGAGAAAGGGTCGAATTGGATTAGTAAGAGAGTGCATTTCAAACTTACCACGAGCATCTCAAATCGAATTGTTCAGGTTGATCTTTTGTCATATTTTTCACGAGTGTTATGAATATATTTATTTGAATGCGTGCTAGCTTCAGAGCCTGAAAATTTCACTCAAGTGAGTGCAAAGCCCAGAAAATTATTAATGAACGCACTAATTGCAAAATATCGAACACAGAAGGTCGTGAGAAACTATTTTAGAAATTTGTACCTATCAACATCACTGAAGGTCATGAGTTTTCAAGAGTACGAATTCTTCCGAAAAAATACTGATTGGGAAATATTAAAACGGAGGTGGAAGTTAGAGAGAAGAAAATATCAGATAAAGATACAAAAACGGTCCGAGAAAACTTAACAGATTAAAAGAGTAACAAGGTCGAAATAGTTGGATTTGATATCTACTCCGGCGTCTCGCTTTATTGTTACTCTCGGCACGAAAAATGGTCACGTTACGAGTGGAGCCAGAAAAACGTAACCTTTGAAGAAGAATGTAAATGGAAACCAAAAATGGAAAACTAAGAGCAAAGAAAAAGAAGATGAAAAAAGAAACAATTTGGCGTGGACTCGAACCATATTTCGTCAGACTGGAGCGTAATATTTATAAGCCCTTTCTGTAGCGCCAGTCGTGCGGTGCCTGAGTTAAGATTTACAAAAACTAAACAAAGAAAGTTGAGACGTTACTGCTTGTTTGTTATGGACGAAGTAACGGTGACACGCCATCGACAGTTACTAATTGAAAACTTAAAAAATGGGTAGGAAACTTTCATGGCAAATTTTTATTTGGATCGCAGGTGCTGTTTTCCTCGACGATTCAATCCATGTAGTTTCTGGTCCTCGGTCTGCAGCTGGTACTTACGTCGTTTAGAACGCTTCTTTGGTTGGTTTGGTGCAGGAATCGCCAAACATCCACTGATAACAATCCAGATATGTCTTGTGTTCGTCAGTGTCTGTTCCGTGGGATTTATTTGGTTTGAAGCAGAAAACAGAACTGTAAAACTGTTTATCCCCCAAACAAGCAAGGCCATAGATGACCTGGAAGCTGCCGAAAGATACTTTCGAGTCAATTTTCGAGAAGAAATCGTCCTTTTGGTGGCATCGCCTGGCCATCCTAATGTTCTATCACCTGAGTGTCTGAGACAAGCCTTTCAAGCACACAACGCAGTCATTGAATTGGAATCTTATTCCGACTTCTGTGTCACTCTGTCGGGGAACCAATCCAAGTCACCAGAAGACTGCGTTATGATCAACCCACTGGAATTCGTGCAGTTCAACGAAACTTTATTGCTTGACAAGGACATAAAACAGGTCCAACATGAACTGAGCAGAGCATACAACAACACAAGCTTGATCATGCGAAATGGTCGCCCTTTCTGGTTCAACTTTAACCGAATGTTTGGCAATGCTACTCGAAAACGTGGAATCGTAACTGGCGCCAAAGCATTACAAATGGTGTATCTGGTCCGTGACCCCAGTGACGACGACATGAACGAGAAAGTTCTTAATTGGGAGAAGAGCTTCATTGACAAAGTCTCATCGTTGAGAGATGATCTGTCCTGCTACGAAGTCCACTTCTCAAGTGAAAGAAGCCTTGACGATGCCATTGCTGAAAGTACTGGGTCTGACGTCACTTTGGTGTCAATCACTTTCA